GTTTGTCTGGAGACCGGGCAAAATACTTCATGAATAATTTTGCTAATATCATCTACATGGCTTATTTATATATCACAGTTCATCTAATGTGACATAAAAATACAATAAAAATAACATAGAAACACGATATATACTCTAGAATGAATAAAATATGCCATTATGAAACAGGTGGAGGCAGCTACAACCGCTCCCTCTTTGTTGTGGTAAACACTGCCATCTAGTGACGGCCTTTTGAACCCGTCTATTATAATTGTTATATGTAGTACATTATTATTATATATGTATTATTATTATACATTATAATATTATTATTATTGTATTATACTATTATTATTATATGTATTAATATCATACATATTATTATTATTATATAAATAATTTGTAATTTTTATTCACACAAAAAATGTAAGATTTACTGTTATTCCTTATTGCAATAATTGTATAAATAATGTCAACCCATTCACGACTGCATATTCAATTCAATTCAATTCAAGTTTATTCTCTATAATGGTTACAATGTGGGGTTTACAGGTTTTGGGTATTTTGTGGTTTACATGTTATAAAATACTAATTACAGAGGGAGCCACTAGGATACCTAGCATGGCTAGGCATTTCGAGCAGACTTAGATTAATTCTTAACATTAAATCCTTACAGATTATGGTATTAAGGCAAAGTGACTACATCATAATTTGTGAGTTTAGCAATGTGAATGCTTTTATTTTGGCACAATACAAGGTGTCAAAACAAAAGCATTCACATTGCTAAACTTACAAATTTTGATGTAGTCACTTAGCCTTAATACCATAATCTGTAAGGATTTAATGTTAAGAATTAATCTAAGTCTGCTCAAATGGACAGTGATGTCATTTGTTTACTCTGAAACAGCCAAGCAATGGATGGACCATTTCTCCTAGGTTGAGCTTTATTTCAAGGTACTTTTTGTTGTGAAAGCAATTAAAATCATATCTATTTCTGTAATATATCTTCCCTTCTGTCAAATGAGACCAAAAAAACGAGAATACAACCATAAAAACCATTCAAAATTACCGCTAAGGGGTGGCTAATTGCCGAAAAGTGAACTCCATTATTTATGCTTAGAATTCTTTCATTTTTGGTGAACGTTAAGAAGCATTTTTCCATCATACATTGCCCAAGTTTCAATAAGATAGTCCAATAAACGAGATACAATTCCCAAGATCAAGAGCAAGAGCCCCTCACCAGTGTCAAGGAACTTGCCTTGAGGTCTGCTTGCTTGTGGAAATTTTGCTCGCCGATGGAAGCAAAAAATCGACCCATCGACTGCTCGTATTTGGAAAAACTCGCACATGGACATGCTCACAAGTAGAGGTTCCACTGTGTATTGATTGAAGGAGAAATACTTTTTAAATACAAACAGGACTTATAGGCGACATAATGATCAAAATATTTTTCATTCCAGCTGCTAGTTAATGTTTGTAAAATCCTTGAGGAAATACCAACATCAAAAATATCAAAATTTTTCTGATATTTATGTTCTCCTCCAAAAAAAGATTACCAGCAAGAAACTTACAGTTTCTTACTTTTATTTACCGATGTAAATAATTTAAAGATAAAAAGACAGAGAGAGACTACCCTGTTGATTATCCTCCACTAGAGAGCTGAAAAGAACCTCAAAAACCCTCAGCCAACCACCTGAGCACGGCAAACCAAATATTACAAGTAACCAAATTATTGAAAAAGAATGATCAGACATTGGAACACTAATGCAGGTTGTTATCATTAAGTTGCCAGACATCACAGCCTTATGGAGCTGAAACTTAACTATAATACAATGAATACTCCAGGTGTATCATGGTACTGAGGGACAAAGTTCAAACACCAGAGTTGCACTAAGAGAATCAGCAGATTTAATAGAATGATGGAAATTGGAAGCAGATTAATAATACTTGTAAGAAATGGTTCAGAGAAAACCGAACATTGAAAATTAGACTGTGCAACTCTTGGGTATCTTTATTGAGAAACGTTTCGCCGCACAGTGGCTTATCAGTCCATACCAACCTTGGGCCGACCTACTGACCACAATTGAACAAATGGTTATACCACCTATGTCTGCTGCAACTCTCTGCCAAGGTATATAAGCTAACTTCTCGCACATTGCTGATTCTATTCAAGATTGATGGACTGACCACATCGACCTCATTCTTCTCCTGTTCTTCACAATTCTTCTTGGTATGGACTGATGAAGCCACTGTGTGGCAAAACGTTTCCTCAATAAAGATACCCAAGAGTTGCGCATGTGTCTAATTTATCAAGATAATACTTACTGTGAAATGTAATGAGTGTGGAAGGCTTTCTGGTACAAAAGCTCACAAAGCCAGTGATCTAAATCTAGCCGCATGTATTTAGGGAAATACTGATAGGCAGTGGATACAATTCAGTTGCTCAAGGAAACACATTGTGCAGTTTTCAGAAAGTTCAACAAAAACCATAGCTGAAATGTTCAAAGTTTCTTACAGAAACATCCACCGAAGTGTGAAGAGATATTCTGAAAGGAAAAGGGAAGAAATAAAACTGACGCTATGATGTGCCTCACAGGGAAATAAGAAACAGAAAAAATTTATATCCAGTAGTAGCAGAAAAGACAATACATGGCTGACCCACATCCTATGAGCCACATTCTTGATATCCAAACTTCACATAACCAATATGAACAAAAATGAAGTTTTGCACTTCTAACAGACAAATACAACAGTGTTATACTAGCAAGTACAACATAAACATGTGTTGCTATTTTGGGCAGGTGGAGGCCACTAAGTGTTATTACATGATTTACTTTACTGGTAGGAGTTAACCCTTTCAGGGTTGAGAGGCCCTCTCCTAAACTTGTTCTCAGGGTCAAAATTTTTTCGGAAAAAAAAAAAATCTTATGAAATGAGAGAGAATCTTTTTCCGATCATAATGACACCAAAAGTATGAAATTTGATGGAAAACTTACAGAATTATGCTGTCGCGAAGTTAGCGGTCTTGATGATGTTGACAGATTGGCGATTTCGCCCACTTTGAGCCCTATTTTTGGCCAATTCCAATATACCAGTTGACAAAAATCATAACTATTTCACTAGAACTTCACTTTTTCTATTGAATGAGTACAAGAAACCACCCATTTACTGATTACAACTATCCAATAAAGTGGTCAGAAATTGGCAATTTTGCCAATCTCTCACAAATTTCAAAAGATGCCAGTTTCCAAATAGGGTCTAGAATAAACCAGACAGATATTCCTGGCACTAAAATAACATTTTCTCTGTTCATTAGTCATGTCCCCAGGCCCCCTCTTACATTTGTTTTGCTTTCCACTTTGAATTTTTATTCTCACAAAAAAATAGAGAAGATTTACTGTTATGCAGACTACTGCATTAGTGTAGAAATGGTATAAATAATATCAGCACACTTTTGAAAGAATATTAGACTCACCAGATGATGTGTATTGGACAGATGGCATGATTTGTTTACTTTTGAACTTCGGCAAAAATCTAACATTTCTGCTATTTTGAGCTCGATATCAAGGTACTTTTCTTTGTGAAACCAATCAAAATCATCTCAATTTCTGTAACATGTCTTCTATTCTGTAAAATGAGACCAGGAAAACTTGAATACAACCATAAATACCATACAAAAATACACTGCAAAATCGCTGTTTTAAACCAAAAATGCAGTCAGAGTTTTTTTTTCTCATTATGCACTGTGTGCTGAAGGATTTTTTTATACTGTGCACACTGACCACATAGACCCATTCTTTCATATGTAGGCCTACCAGCTTTCTCTCGCTACATTTGAAGGCGCTAGAATTTACGCGTATTAGTACAGCACCAACCCTGATGTGCAAGCTGTACTAGTACGGCACCAACCCTGAAAGGGTTAAAGAAAAATAAGGGTAAATATGTTTTAAGTCCTGGAAATGGGAAGTACAATGCCTGCACTTTAAAGGAGGGGTTTGGGATATTGGCAGTTTGGAGGGTTATGTTGTGTATCTTTATATGTGTATGCTTCTAAACTGTTGTATTCTGAGCACCTCTGCAAAAACAATGATAATGTGTGAGTGTGGTGAAAGTGTTGAATGATGATGAAAGTATTTTCTTTTTGGGGATTTTCTTTCTGTTTTGGGTCACCCTGCCTTGGTGGGAGACGGCCGACTTGTTGAAAAAAAAAAAAAATGTTTTAAGTTTTTATACATCAAGTGAGAACAACCACGACATTTACGTTCATGAGTGTACTGTGTAGTGTACACCAAGACAAGTGATTAGTGCATGATGCTCAATAAATTATTGTCACCAGCCTTTTGTTGACATCTAAAATTAACACCCACATATACAACAGTTACACACTCACACATCTGTTCAAGTCTCAGTAACAATATTTAAGGTAAGTAGTAAGCCCGTAAGGGTCACAGAAAGCGAGATGAATGGTAGGTAATAAGGTTTAATGTGAGGAAGGGGAGAATTGTTCCCAATCTCTGGATCAAGAGCCTTTCAACAGTAAGTCACCAGCTTGGGGGATGTAAACAGTAATTTGATACAACTAGCCTAGCTTAAAAAAAAAAAAACTGTGTATAATTATGCACTTGAATTTCTACTGTGCACCTGAAGAGAAACAAGGAATTAGAATGCTACTGCTAATATGTGAAGACTTAGAATGTTATTCCTGACCCAGAATTAGAATGCTGTTAACATACAGAGAATCATAAAATATTACACTTGGGAAATAATGTTCACTTAGCCTACTGTTACGTATTGTGTGAAGTTCAAGATTATCTAGGCTAGAATATTGTCTCCACCTCGCTAGTTCTGTAACAGCAAGATTAATACCTCAGCTACTGCATAAATTTATATCGTGTATTTTGGTGCTTGGTTTAAAAAATTAATTGTTTGAGGTGACAGGTATCAGGTATGATGAGGTCACTGTACAGGTGGAGTGGAAGACTCAGGTGGGGCAGAGAGCTCAGGTGGAAAAGAGGACTCACCTGAGAGGGCTCCTCAAGCTGAGAGCCGTGTCAGGACGTCGCACTTCACCGATGCTGTGACGTCGTGTTGGTTTATCAAATAATCTCTCTGGTTCTCTGTAAAAAAAAACAAAGTTAATGCATAAAACATGTTTCCTCTCTAAGCTTGCAACTCAAGAGTTGTCAGGAGGCTGGAACACTACAAGTCAAAACACCAGCCATCAGCTCTAACACTAGCACCTGCCAGTGGCTCTAACACTAATATGAACCTTCAATAACAAGATCTATCATTAATTTATTTATTTATTTATTTATTTAATAATTTGAACATACATACAGAGGTACAAAAAAATACAGGTAAGAGCAGCATGCCAAAGCCACTTGTATGCATAGCATTACAGGCTGGCTTAAAATTAACTTAAGATTAACTAAGCAATGATGTAATCAGTGATAAAACATTATTGTAAACAGATAACAATAAAGCACAATTGAGTATTACAATGACAGGTCATATGGTTGCATACATTGCTGTACATTCAGTAGAATGGAGTATTCTGTTAGGTAGTGTATTTAAAAAATAACAAAGTTAGATTGGGTCTTAGGTTTAACATTTATGTGATATAATTGTGAGAAACATTTAAGATATACAATTTATAAGGTTCAGTTATTCAGTATTTATTTGGTTTTGGGTGAGTAAGTGATCTTTGAGAAGAGACTTGAATTTATAAACAGGTAGTGTTTCTTTTATATTTACAGGTAATGAATTCCAGATTTTAGGGCCTTTTATGTGCTTTGAGTTTTTGCATAGCGTGAGATGGACACGAGGAACATCAAAGAGTGATCTGTGCCTTGTGTTATGGTCATGTGTTCTGTTGAGGTTGGCAAGGAGATGTTTGAGGGGAGGGTTAATATCAGAGTTAAGTGTTCTATGTATGTAATAGGTGCAGTAATAAGTATGGATGTTTTGTATGGTGAGTAGGTTTAGTGTTTTGAATATTGGTGGAGTGTGCTGCCTGTAGTGGGAATTTATCATCATTCTGACTGCAGCCTTTTGTTGGGTAATTAGTGGTCTACTACATATAGTAGATCTTGGAATGTTAAGAGTAGCCATAACTGCAACTTGATGCCAATATTTTTAAGATATCTCACCCCCACAGACACAAATTTTCACTGGATGGTATGATTGCTTATTATAGTTATTCCAGAGTCATTGATGTCAGGGGGACAAGAGCTATACTTCATTACTGGCAGCTATGCTAACATTCCAGTCTACTGAATGAGAAGTATTGGACTCTCATGGGGCATTGACAGTGTTACTTGCTGCTGTTTTGACCTGCCACATTAAAGAATCTGTATGAATTTTGGAAATATGAATACACACATTATATATAATGTGCCAAATAGGTAAAACTTACGATTTTGGCTTAAATAGCACTGCTCTTCTTGCCGAATAAGGCAAGTGAAAATTTGTGTATGCAATAATTTTGCAAAACCATTCTGAACCTAACGAAACAAAATGTATTTCATTGTGTTGGTTTATTATTAAATTATTGTAAATTTATCTAAAATATATTTAGCTGGATTAGGCTAAATTAAACTGCACTTGTATAATAAGGTCAGCCAAGTTTTTTAAGGTTCTTTTGATACAGAATTATTAATTTTTACATTAAAATAAATGAAAAAAAATATCTTGAACCATACAAGAGAAAATTTTAGAAAGGACTTAATTTTAAACGAGTTCTTGCTAATTGACCAATTTTACCTATTCGGCACGACGTACATACATACACATATATTTTTTTTTCAACAAGTCGGCCGTCTCCCACCGAGGCATGGTGACCCAAAAAAGAAAGAAAATCCCCAAAAAGAAAATGCTTTCATCATCATTCAAAACTTTCACCTCACTCACACATAATCACTGTTTTTGCAGAGGTGCCCAGAATACAATAGTTTAGAAGTATATACGTATAAAAATACACAATATATCTCTCCAAACTGCCAATATCCCAAACCCCTCCTTTAGAGTGCAGGCATTGTACTTCCCATTTCCAGGACTCAAGTCCTGTTATATAAAATAACCGGTTTCCCTGAATCCCTTCACTAAATATTACCCTGCTCACACTCCAACAGATCGTCAGGTCCCAAATACCATTCGTCTCCATTCACTCCTATCTAACACGCTCACGCACGCTTGCTGGAAGTCCAAAAACCTCACCCACAAAACCTCCTTTACCCCCTCTCTCCAACCCTTTCGAGGACGACCCCTACCCCGCCTTCCTTCCCCTATAGATTTATATGCTTTCCATGTCATTCTACTTTGATCCATTCTTCCTCTAAATGACCAAACCACCTCAACAACCCCTCTTCTGCCCTCTGACTAAATACTTTTATTAACTCCACACCTTCTCCTAATTTTCCACACTCCGAATTTCTGCATAATATTTACACCACACATTGCCCTTAGACAGGACATCTCCACTGCCTCCAACCGTCTCCTCGCTGCTGCATTTACCACCCAAGCTTCACACCCATATAAGAGTGTTGGTACTACTATACTTTCATACATTCCCTTCTTTGCCTCCATAGATAACGTTTTTTGACTCCACATATACCTCAATGCACCACTCACCTTTTTTCCCTCATCAATTCTATGATTAACCTCATCCTTCATAAATCCATCCGCCGACACGTCAACTCCCAAGTATCTGAAAACATTCACTTCTTCCATACTCCTCCTCCCCAATTTGATATCCAATTTTTCTTTATCTAAATCATTTAACACCCTCATCACCTTACTCTTTTCTGTGTTCACTTTCAACTTTCTACCTTTACACACATTCCCAAACTCATCCACTAACCTTTGCAATTTTCTTTAGAATCTCCCATAAGCACAGTATCATCAGCAAAAAGTAACTGTGTCAATTCCCATTTTGAATTTGATTCCCCAAAATTAATCCCACCCCTCTCCCGAACACCCTAGCATTTACTTCCTTTACAACCCATCTATAAATATATTAAACAACCATGGTGACATTACACATCCCTGTCTAAGACCTACTTTTACGGGAAGTAGTCTCCCTCTCTTCTACACACCCTAACCTGAGCTCACTATCCTCATAAAAACTCTTTACAGCATTTAATAACTTACCACCTATTCCATATACTTGCAACATCTGCCACATTGCTCCTCTATCCACTCTATCATATGCCTTTTCTAAATCCATAAATGCAATAAAAAACTTCCCTATCTTTATCTAAATACTGTTCACATATATGCTTCAATGTAAACACCTGATCTACACAATTCCCTACCCACTCTGAAACCTCCTTGCTCATCTGCAATCCTCATTCTGTCTTATCTCTAATTCTTTCAATATAACCCTACCGTACACTTTTCCTGGTATACTCAGTAAGCTTATTCCTCTATAATTTTTACAGTCTCTTTTGTCCCCTTTCCTTTATATAAAGGGGACTACACATGCTCTCCGCCAATCCCTAGGTACCTTCCCCTCTTTCATACATTTATTAAACAAAAGTACCAACCACTCAACACTATATCCCCCCTGCTTATAACATTTCTGTCATGATCCCATCAGTTCCAGCTGCCTTTACCCCCTTTCATTTTACGTAATGCCTCACGTACCTCCCCCACACTTACATTCTGCTCTTCTTCACCCCTAAAAGATGGTATACCTCCCTGACCAGTGCATGAAATTACTGCCTCTGTTTCTTCCTTAACATTTAAAAGTCCTCAAAATATTCTTGCCATCTACCCAATACCTCCATCTCCCCATCTACTAACTCCCTACTCTGTTTTTAACTGACAAATCCATATTTTCCCTAGGCTTTCTTAACTTGTTTAACTCACTCCAAAATTTTTTTCTTATTTTCATTAAAATTTCTTGACAGTGCCTCTCCCACTCTATCATCTGCTCTCCTTTTGCACTCTCTCACCACTCTCTTTACCTTTCTTTTACTCTCCATATACTCTGCTCTTCTTATAACACTTCTGCTTTGTAAAAACCTCTCTAAAGCTACCTTTTTCTCTTTCATCACACCCTTTACTTCATCATTCCACCAATCACTCCTCTTTCCTCCTGCCCCCACCCTCCTATAACCACAAACTCTGCCCACATTCTAATACTGCATTTTAAAACTATTCCAACCCTCTTCAACCCCCCCACTACTCATCTTTGCACTAGCCCACCTTTCTGCCCAATAGTCGCTTATATCTCACCCGAACTTCCTCCTCCCTTAGTTTATACACTTTCACCTCCCTCTTACTTTGTTGTTGCCACCTTCCTCTTTTCCCATCTACCTCTTACTCTAACTGTAGCTACAACTAAATAATGATCCGATATATCAGTTGCCCCTCTATAAACATGTACATCCTGGAGCCTACCCATCAACCTTTTATCCACCAATACATAATCTAATAAACTACTTTCATTACGTGCTACATCATACCTTGTATATTTATTTATCCTCTTTTTCATAAAATATGTATTACTTATTACCAAATTTCTTTCTACACATAGCTCAATTAAAGGCTCCCCATTTACATTTACCCCTGGCGCCCAATTTACCTACTACTCCCTCCATAACATTTTTACCACTTTAGCATTGAAATCCCCAACCACCATTACTCTCACACTTGATTCAAAACTCCCCACGCATTCACTCAACATTTCCCAAAATCTCTCTCTCTCCTCTACACTTCTCTCTTCTCAGGTGCATACACGCTTATTATAACCCACTTTTCACATCCAATCTTTATTTTACTCCACATAATCCTTGAATTAATACATTTATAGTCCCTCTTTTCCTGCCATAGCTTATCCTTCAACATTATTGCTACTCCTTCTTTAGCTCTAACTCTATTTGAAACCCTGACCTAATCCCATTTATTCCTCTTCCACTGAAACTCTCCCACCCCCTTCAGCTTTGTTTCACTTAAAGCCAGGACATCCAGCTTCTTCTCATTCATAACATCCACAATCATCTCTTTCTTATCATCTGCACAACATCCACGCACATTCAGACTCCCACTTTGACAATTTTCTTCTCTTATTCTTTTTAGTAATCTTTACAGGAAAAGGGGGTTACTAGCCATTGTTCCCGGCATTTTAGTTGACTTTTACAACACGCATGGCTTACGTAGGAAAGATTCTTATTCCACTTCCCCATGGATATAAAAGGAAAATTAATAAGACCAAGAACTATTAAGATAAAATCAAAGAAAACTCAGATGAGTGTGTATAAATAAATGTGTACATGTATGTGTAGTGTGACCTAAGTGTAAGTAGAAGTAGCAAGACATGCCTGTAATCTTGCATATTTATGAGACAGACAAAAGACATCAGCAATCCTACCATCATGTAAAACAATCACAGGCTTTCGTTTTACACTCACTTGGCAGGACGGTAGTACCTCCCTGGGTGGTTGCTGTCTACCAACCTACTACATATATATATACATTATATATATATATACAGTGGACCCCCGCATAGCGAACGCCTTGCATAGCGAACAATCCGCATAGCGAACGCTTTGTTCGCTAAAATTTTGCCCCGCATAGTGGACAAAAACCCGCTCAGCGACCTTCGTCCGAGACGCGTCCAATGTGGGCCCTCAGCCAGCCTCACATGTGCCGCCCGTCCCATTGTTTACCAGCTAGCCTCCGCGGTAACATTCAAGCATACACTCGGAATATTTCGTATTATTACAGTGTTTTCGGTGCTGTTTGTGAAAATAAGTGACCATGGGCCCCAAGAAAGCTTCTAGTGCCAACCCTACACCTCAAAGGGTAAGAATACCCATTGAAATTAAGAAAGAGATCATTGATAAGTATGAAAGTGGAGTAGTATCACCGACCTGGTCAGGTTGTACAAGAAACCAAAATCAACCATCGCTTCTATTGTGGGCAAGAAAACGGCAATCAAGGAAGCTGTTGTATGACAAAGGGTTTAACTGTGTTTTCTCTGGAAACAAAGATCGACAAGTGATGGAAGATGTGAGAGACTGTTTTTGGTGTGGATAATTGACAAAAAACAGCTGTAGCAGCGACGAAGCGTCTCTTCATGCGATCATATGTGAAAAGGCATAGGAAGTTGCATGAGAGTTTAATTAAAAAAATGCCTGTGCAACTGTAGTGATGATGTGAGTGAATTTAAGGCAGCAAAGGTTGGTTTGAGAGATTTCTTAGAAGCGTATGGCATACATTTTAGTGTGATATGCATGGTGAGGCTGCCAAGTTCGGACCACAAGCGGACCTGGAAAAATTATGTGCTGAATTCAAGGAAGTAACATAGAAATGAAGGACTGGAACCTGAACAAGTGTTTAATTGTGATGAAAAACAGGCCGTCCTGGAGAAAAATGCCAAGCAGGGACTACATTTACTCAGGGGGAAAAAGACTCACCCAGGACATAAGCCTCATGAAGACAGCTTACCTTTGTTGATGTGTGCCAATGCTAGGGGCGTGTGTGATTGACAAAGTTAAGCCTTTATAGTGTATCACTCTGAAACTCCAGAGGTTCAGGCAAAAGAAGTCTCAAGGATAATTTGTGCTGTTGCTGTGGAGGGAAACATGCTAAGGCATGAGTCACTAGGGAATTTTTCTATAACTGGTTACACCATGCAGATTTTTTTTTACCCCAATGTGAATGATTACCCTAACTGAAAAGAAATTAGACCTTAGTGGGCCTCTGGTGTTAGCAATGCCCTGGGTCCATCCTACAACGGTGGCGGAGCGACTTTATGGGGACATGAGCTTCATTAAGGTGAAGTTTTGCCTCCTAATACCACTCCTCTCCTGCAGCCCATGGACCAGCAGGTCATTTCACAACTTCAAGAAACTGTACACAAAAGCTCTGTTTCAAAAGTGCTTTGAAGTGAACAACAGACACTGGATTGACATCTAATATAGAGTTTTGAGGACTCACTTTATATTCCTCAGTTGTGTACCTCTTAGAGGTAGAAGGCTTGGGACGGGGGACATAAGGAGAATCTTGAACTCTGCCTTGGAAGAAGAACCTGTGGCCAGCATGTGTAGACAAAAGGGATTTTGAAGGGTTTGAGGCTAACACTGAGACGGAGTTAGTATACCCTGTTATGGAGGAATCAATTGTGGAATTTGGGAAGTCCTTGGGGTTGGCAGGCTTTAGTGGGGAGGATGTGGAAGAGTTTGGTGGAGGAGGACTAATGAAGAACTAAACCACTGATGAGCTGATAGCTCAACTTCAAGAGCAAAGAGGCCAGACCTGGGGAACACGGTTCAAAGGAGGGGGGTAGAGAGAAAATGAAGGAATTTGCCTACTTCAAAGATTAAGGAAATGTGTGCAAAATGGCTTGAAGTGCACCTTTTATGATGAAAAAATCACCCTCACACGCTATTGGCAAGCCGTGGCTGGTCGGGACTGTTCTTACAATGACACTGTTGTGAAAACACTTTAGACAAATCATAAAGGAACGTGAGGTACAGGCATTGGACAGATATGTTGGCCGAAAGAAGTCACAGTGACTCTGAAGATGGTCCTAGTGGCATTAAAGAAGAAGAGGAAGTAACCCAGAAAAGGACTTGCTACCATCTGAGTTCCTAGTGGAAGGGGAGTCCCCTTTCTAAACACTTAACACTTCTCTCCCCTCCTCCCATCCCATCAATCATCACCAGTATCTACAATAACAGTAAGTGCATGTAATGTGCATGCCATTTTTCAGTTTGTGTGTTACTATATTACAATTTTTTTGTGGTAAAATAAATTTTTTTTTCATACTTTTGGGTGTCTTGCAAGGATTACTTTTATTTCCATTTATTTTTTTATGGGGAAAATTAATTGCATAGCGAACATTTAGCATATAAGACCAGCCCTCTTGCACGGATTAAGTTCGCTAGCGGGGGGGTCCACTGTATATATGATATATATTATATATGATACTATGACATTTTGTCTATCTGATATATATATATATATTTATAATATATATATATATATATTTTTTACCCCCCCCCCCCCCCCCCCCCCCCCCCCCCCCTTTGTTGTTGTTACTATATATTTATATATATTATATATATATATTTTTTGTTTTCAACAAGTTGGTCGGTCTCCCACCGAGGCGGGTGACCAAAAAAAGATAAGAAAATCCCCAAAAAGAAAAATATTTCATTCTCATTCAACACTTTCAACACACTCACACATTATCACTGCTTTTGCAGTGGTGCCTAGAATTTTAACAAAAACAGTTTAGAAGCATATTCGTTAAAGATACACAAACATATCCCTCAAACTGCAATATATATATATATATTTATATATATATATATATTTATATATATATATATATATATATATATTTATATTATATTATATTTATATATATATATTTATTTATTTATTTTGCAGCTGGCAGGATTTGAAACTCCAGGCCACCAGCTGTCCCAAGTACAGCATCTCCTCACTTAGCGACATATACTCTTTTTTACTGATGCCTCGAATTTCAAACGGGCTCTTCTGACACAGTATTATACCTAATAATGTTTATTGAGTTGATTTCCTCAATTCTGTTTATTACAATATACAGTACACTGCTGTATAAACATTTAAAAATATACCAGATTATTATTATTATTATAATCAAAGGGGAAGCGCTAAACCCGGAGGATTATACAGCGCCTGGGGGGGGGGATGTGGAAGGCATTTAGGCTTAATTTGGGGAACTGGAGCACAGATCCAATTCCCTAAATCAAGAGCCCCTCACCAACATCAAGGAACCTTCCTTGAGGGGAAAATATACCAGAAATGTTATAAATAGTGTAAAGGTGACATTAAAGCAATATCAAAGATGGTTGACACAAGTCCACTACCATTATAGTATGCTCCTCGTTTAGCGACGAATTCATTTACCGATGGATCTTAGGTCCCAATCTCCATCGTTATGTGAGGAGAGGCTGTACTGAAAAACAGAAGGATTCGAACATGTGCATTCTGCATCAAAATACAAAGTTCTTAAGCCACAAAGCCAGACCCCAGATAAGTATAGGAACTTAGCTGAAGCTAGATGGGGTGTGTGTGTGTTTGTGTAATTTATCACAGAAATTCACAACTGACTTACTTGTTAATGGGCGGAAGCTTATCATAGGACGATCCTCTGAGTGACAACACTGACGGTGACTGTGGAACAAACAGTTGTTTACATATTACTCTTATACATACCTCAATTAACACACACACCATCAAGAAGAAAATAAAAAGTCACAATACCGTGACTGAAACAAAGTACACATACAAATAACCTGCACATAGGAGAATGGAATTTATGACAACGTTAAAATCAAATCAGATCAAAATCAAAATTTTATTTCTTTGTGAAGGTTACAATGTGTGTTTACATTTCATAATTTGATTGGTACAAAGAAAGCCACTATCATACCAAGGCAGTTCAGGCAGATTTAACCTAATACAGTGGACCCCCGCCTTACGATCAGATCCCAACTTGAACAATTATGTAAGTGTATTTTTGGGGGTCTGAAACGGACTGATCTAATTTGCAATATTCTTTATGGGAACAAATTCGTTCAGTAACGGCACCCGAACAGACTTCTGGAATGAATTAATATCGTAAGGCGGGGGTCCACTGTACTTAAAGACTACTTAAGTCTAGACAGGTGAAGAGTGGTAGACTACCAATACTCAATATTTTACTCTATTATTAATATAAGGTAGTACAATTAATAATACAAACATACATATTTAAGCTTGTTAATAATGGCCTAATAGTTAAGGGATAATAAAATATTTGGGAGAGTTCCTTTAAATTAGGTTAGAGTTTAGTATAATGTGGGTATAGTTGTTATTGAGAGATATGATTTTTTAGTATAATCTTTGATTTGTGGGAAGGGGACCTCTTGCTGTTTCGGGCAAAGAGTTCCAGATTTTAGACCCCTTCATGTGCATTGCATTTTTGCATAGTGTGAGATGGACAAGAGGGATGTCAAAAAGTGTCTTAAGCCTTGTGTTATGCCTGTGTGTTCTGCTGAAGCTGTCTAGGAGAAGGCTGAGTGGAGTTTCAGTTACTTTGTAATTTGTTCATCATTGTAAACATGTATACATGTGTAGATGATCAATTACCTTTGTAACTTGGTCGTAATTGTGACCAGATCTACCTAGAGTTCATTACCTTTGTAACTTGTTCAGCTACCAAAACTTTGGGGCCCAGTCCCTGGACCCATTATGTACCTTTGTAATTACCTGGAGAGAGTTCTGGGGTTCAATGCCCCCACTGCCAAGTCTGTGACCAGGCCTCATGGTGGATCAGGGCCTGATCAACCAGGATGTTACTGCCTGCTGCATGCAGTGCAACATATTTACCACAGCCTGGCAGGTCAGGTATTTACTTTAGGTACTTTTCCAGTGCCTGCTTGAAGACAGCCAAGGAAATTTTTTACATAACTTCCTAAATGTACAACATATAAATGAATAATATAATAATTGTGTAATAAAATTTGATGCTGATTTGACCCTTTTGAGAAATTTTGAGTGAGGAGGGTGTAGAACAGCTGTGGAGTGATGCTGGGGAGATGTGCCATATTGACTTTAAAGTGTGAACACTGGACTGAATTGTGCAATGTAATCAGGCGTTCTCGGGTTTTCCTGCCTGAATTTTGTAATATGAACCCATGTTAATGTCCCCTGCTGAAGAATTGGGACAGAAAATTTGTGGGACCTCAAGAATTGTGTGAATGGCAGAATATAAGGGATGCAAACATCACTCACGGGGAAGTGCACCATTAGTCCTTGCATTTAAATCTCTAGCTGGCCAGTGTAGGGTCTAGGTGTCAGGCAAGTGTTGTGGTGTGATTTATCTACAGTAATTAAATGGTTAAGTGGTAATATGAATTTCTTCTGTGCACCCAGGAAGCCTAATCATATACAGTCCACAACTGTTTTTAATATTGTAATTATTAATTTAATGTCAGGTCTAGCAGTTTGTGAGTGGTGAAAAAGTGGGCATTGAGGGATTTAGAGTTCGATGATCTATTGTGACCCAAGTCTCACTTATCTCACCCAAATTACTTGCCTGTAATAATTCAGGCAATACCCTGTAAATCTCATACAGGTAATTTACTCACATAATAATAATAATAATAATTCACAAAGTAATCATTTGAATACTGCCCATAGGATGGGTATAGGGTGCACAATAAAGATATTAAGCTACATATGTACAGAGTACAAAACAAATTCTGGCCACAAAATAGAGCGAAACACCAACGTCAAAGACCTGGGAGTGATCATGTCGGAGGATCTCACCTTCAAGGACCATAACATTGTATCAATCGCATCTACTAGAAAAATGACAGGATGGATAACGAGAACCTTCAAAACTAGGGATGCCAAGCCCATGATGACACTCTTCAGGTCACTTGTTCTATCTAGGCTGGAATATTGCTGCACACTAACAGCACCTTTCAAGGCAGGTGAAATTGCTGACCTAGAAAATGTACAGAGAACCTTTACGGCACGCATAATGGAGATAAAACACCTCAATTACTGGGAGCGCTTGAGGTTCCTGAACCTGTATTCCCTGGAACGCAGGCGGGAGAGATACAAGATTATATACACCTGGAAAATCCTAGAGGGACTAGTACCGAACTTGCACACGAAAATCACTCACTACAAAAGCAAAAGACTTGGCAGACGATGCAACATCCTCCCAATGAAAAGCAGGGGTGTCACTAGCACGTTAAGAGACCATACAATAAGTGTCAGGGGCCCGAGACTGTTCAACTGCCTCCCAGCATACATAAGGGGGATTACCAACAGATCCCTGGCAGTCTTCAAGCTGGCACTGGACAAGCACCTAAAGTCAGTTCCTGACCAGCCGGGCTGTGGCTCGTACGTTGGTTTGCGTGCAGCCAGCAGTAACAGCCTGGTTGATCAGGCTCTGATCCACCAGGAGGCCTGGTCACAGACCGGGCAGCGGGGGCATTGACCTCTGGAACTCTCTCCAGGTAAACTCCAGGTTACTTGTGTATACATCATCACCTTGTGATTTCACCTCAAATAAATGCAAGCACATGAATAATTACAAGTTAATATGGAAATAATAATATAGGGAAGACTGGAGTCTCTGGTGCTTGTATTATCAAAACTGTGTGGTGACACGCAGGAATCTAACTGTATTTAGTCTTTAAATTCAAATTCAAAGTTTATTCTCTATAAGGATTACAATGCTGAGTTTACAGAATTTGGTTATTGTGTGGTTTACATGTAGTAAAATACTAATTACAGAGTGTACCACTAGAACACCTAGCACGGCTAGGCATTTCGGGCAGACTTATATTAAATCTTAAGTTTAAAATATTACAAAATTATGAGGTAAGTTGGTATTATGGCTAAGTGACTAAATACTAGTTGTGAGTTTAGCAATGTGAATGCTTTTGTTTTGGCACTAATCAGGTGGATAACTGGCTTGAGCACTGGTGACTGGCTGAAAGCACTGGTAAATGGCTGAAAGCACTGGTAAATGGCTAAAAGCACTGGTAACTGGATAGAACTGGGAACTTGCTATGAACACTGGTAACTCGATGCAAACATTGGTAACTTGATGCAAACACTGGTGACTTGCTACAAGCACTGGTAGCTGGGCACGAGCACTTGTAAATGGCTACAAGCACTTGGACAGTGGAGCCAGAGTGCACATGCTGTAGATTCCATCTCACATTGGTCTTCGAATGCATGATAAAACTGATAAATTGGCTAAGCTGTATGCTTTCAAAGAGGGAGTAGATTACAATCTTGGCTTGTCAGGTAGCAGTTTGAGAACAATAATACGAAAAGAACTTCAATTGAATTTTATTGACTTAAGACTCGGGGAGATTGGCACCAGTCAGTCCATCTATCATCATTCTATCATGCAGGAGGAGCCACATGTCTATGGTGCATCCAACAAAATAAGCAGACTCTTGGATGTCACTACTGCCCGGCTCCGACTGGGTTACAAGTATCTTTGGCAGGTTAAATCACCACCACCAGATGTAGACCAAACGAAATGTAAACTTTGCCAGATGGACTATTGTCACACCTTGCGTCATTATGTACTGGAGTGCGATAAAATTAATGAATTTAGAAGCAACTCACTCAGAAGTGTTCAAGAAATGGCAAAGTATTTTATCCACAGTGGTATATTACAGACCATTCTGGAGAAATACCCTGACTTTGCTAGCTGTAAATAAAGCATTACCACATGTGTGCATGTGTGCGTGTGTGTGTGTGTGTGCGTGTGTGTGCGTGTGTGTGCGTGTGTGTGCGTGTGTGTGCGTGTGTGCGTTTTGCGTGTGTGTGGTGTGTGTGGTGTGTTGTGTTGTGTGTGTGTTGTTTTGTGTGTGTGTGTGTGTGTGTGTGTGTGTGTGTGTGGGGTACACTCACCTAATTGTGGTTGCAGGGGTCGAGACTCAGCTCCTGGGCCCCGCCTCTTCACTGATCGCTACTGGATTCCTCTCTCTCTCTGCTTCCTGAGCTTTGTCATACCTCTTCTTAAAACTATGTATGGTTCCTGCTTCCACTACTTCACTTGCTAGGCTATTCCACTTGCTGACAACTCTATGATTGAAGAAATACTTCCTAACGTCCCTGTGACTCGTCTGAGTCTTCAGCTTCCAGTTGTGACCCCTTGTCCCTGTGTCCCCTCTCTGGAACATCCTATCTCTGTCCACCTTGTCTATTCCCCGCAGTATCTTGTATGTCGTTATCATGTCTCCCCTGACCCTTCTGTCCTCCAGTGTCGTCAGTCCGATTTCCTTAACCTTTCCTCGTACGACATTCCCTTGAGCTCTGGGACTAGCCTTGTTGCAAACCTTTGTACTTTCTCTAACTTCTTGACATGCTTGACCAGGTGTGGGTTCCAGACTGGTGCTGCATATTCCAGTATGGGCCTAACATACACAGTGTACAGTGTCTTGAATGATTCCTTATTAAGGTATCGGAACGCTATTCTCAGGTTTGCCAGGCGCCCGTATGCTGCAGCGGTTATTTGGTTGATGTGTGCCTCCGGTGATGTGCTCAGTGTTATGGTCACCCCAAGGTCTTTCTCCCTGAGTGAGGTCTGTAGTCTTTGTCCACCTAGCCTATACTCTGTCTGCGGTTTTCTTTGCCCCTCCCCAATCTTCATGACTTTGCATTTGCACTTTGACTGGATTGAATTCGAGAAGCCAGTTGCTGGACCACATGTCCAGCCTGTCCAGGTCTCTTTGCAGTCCTGCCTCATCCTCGTCCGATTTAATTCTTCTCATCAACTTCACGTCATCTGCGAACAGGGACACTTCAGAGTCTATTCCTTCCATCATGTCGTTCACATATATCAAAAATAGCACTGGTCCTAGAACTGACCCCTGTGGGACCCCGCTCGTAACAGGCGCCCACTGTGATACCTCTTCACGTACCATGACTTGTTGCTGCCTCCCTGTCAGGTATTCCCTTATCCATTGCAGTGCCGTCCCTTTTACGTGTGCCTGATCCTCCAGCTTCTGCACTAATCTCTTGTGGGGAACTGTGTGAAAGGCCTTCCAGCAGTCTAGGAAAATGCAATCTACCCACCCCTTCTCTAGTTGTCTTACTTCTGTTACCTTGTCATAAAACTCCAGGAGGTTGTGATACAAGATTTGCTTCCATGAAACCAATGTGGTTTTATTTATAATCTTGTTCTTTCGAGGTGTTGACACTCTCTCCTGAGAAGATAAGATTAAGATTTTCAGTTCGGATTTTTAAACCCCGGGAGGGTTAGCCACCCAGGAAACAAGAAAGTCAGTTCGTCATCGAGGACTGTCTAACTTATTTCCATTGGGGTCCTTATCTTGTCCCCCAGGATGCGACCCACACTGTCGACTAACACCCAGGACTATTTGCGGCTAGTTGACAGGACTATAGATGTAAGGAAACGTGTCAGGAATTTCCACCCGCCGGGTAATCGAACCCGGGCCCTGTGTGTGAAGCGGGAGCTTTAGCCACCAGACCACGGGCCGGGCCACACATCTTCTCCATGTACTTTGCCACACAATACATGTCAGAGACACAGTCTATAGGTTTAGTGCCTCGTTTCAGTTTCCTTTCTTAAATATGGGGGGACTACATTTAGCTGTCTTCCATTTCTCAGGTGTTAGCC